AGCAACGAGGTTTCTTTTTCACCCATCTCTACCTCACATATCTGTTCCTAACTCCTATCCTCAATTTATCCAGAAAGCACACCTGCCATACTTGTTTATTTACCGTGGAACCCTCCACCCCGCATATGTGGAATCTGTGGTCCCCAATGTACCGTTAAAGGGACACGCTGCCTGAGAACTTTGGAAAGTGCAATCCAAGAGACAGTCTCTAGTGGTTTTTTGGAAAGCACGGGCCACTTGCCCCACCAAGATGCTGCAGATCCGTGGCTTTACTTACTTATGTCTGACAACAGTGCTTTGCAAGCTTCCACGTGCATAAACATTCCTGGAAGGCTCATGGAAAACAGGTCCCCTGGCCCCCCCGTCCCCAGGGATTCGATTCAATAGGTCTGCCACAAGATCCCCAAGTTTTAATTTCTCAGGAGCTCCCAGCAGATACTGGTTCCGCCTTCCTTGGATCACACTTTGGGTAACACTGTTCTAGAACCTTCTGGCTTGCATAGGGATGCAGGGAGGTCTATGCAGTAAGTGGAAGCCTGACTGTTGACCTGTTCTAGAGCTACAGGCCATTTAGATGAACAATCTAAGAAATTCCATGAGGTGATAATTTTCATGTTTGTTTATTCGTTGTTTTTTGGGGTTTTCTGCTTGGTTGCTATGTAGCCAACTCAAGTTATTATAGTTTTGTATATCTCAACCATTATCTCAAAGGAGCTCATTTTTAAAAACTAAAAGATTCTTTACTGGTCTCCTTTTCTCAGAGATCAATAATAACTTGGCAAATGCAGAAGAGTTTTCAACTGTACTGTGCCACCAACCTAGAATTCCCTGGGCCTGGAGGGGGCAGATTGGCACAGACCGTCCATGCTCCGTGCAATGAAACAAGGCTGAGTTCCAAATGGACGCCCAGAGCAAAGTGCTCGGTCATCCAGGTATGGGTCAGATTCGTAAAAAGTGAGAGGAGAGGGGAAGGAACCCTGCCTTCATTTTCACCTTAAATCTGAAATGAATCTAACTTTTATGTCCTAAAAGGAAGGAAGGACAGACAGAGAAAGGGAGGAAGGAAGGAAGGAAGGGAGGGAGGGAGGAAAAAGAGAGAGAAAGGAGGAAGAGAGAATTGACTCAGAGTTTAGGACTCAAGGTCCCACTAAAACTTGGACAAAAAACAAGCACATGCCTGAACCTCATGAGGAAAAAAGAAGACAACACGCAATTTTGAATTTTGTGCCTACTCTCCAGCAACCTGTCAGAAAAGATTTCCACAAACTAGGTAGGAGCCTTTGCTACACACACACACACACACACACACACACCCTCGTGGGCAGACTATGTGCGCAAATCACAGACACCAGGTCTAATTGTTACTGGATGAACAGGAAGGAAAAAGATGCCAAATGAACACACATTAGAAATCCTTCCCTATTTAATGAAGCCATCAGCAATTGTAATTTCAATTACATTGTTCATTTGTTTAAAAAAAAAAAAAGCACACTTAGCAAGTGATTACTGCCCATACCTCAGTGAGTACTCCTTTCTCTTTGTACTGATATTGTAAACAAATACTATTGGAAATAAAACTGCTCCTAATATTTGCCTTCCAGATTTTTTTTAAAAAAAATAGCAAAGTTACTTTCTTTTTGCCTGAGATTTGAGCCCGTGAGGTAGTCTGCTGAGAAGGGACCCTGCCAAGGAGGGAGAAGCCCTTATAACGCAGGTACCTGAGCCCCTCTCCTGGTTGCCGGAGCCATTTCAGCTTGGAAGCAGTTTTACATAACCCTGCAGGCGACGCTGAGTCTAACCACCTGCCATGGGTGATTGGTTACTGCCCAGCCTCAGCACTGGCTACAGACAGCATCCTAGAACAAGGGGGTAGAACTGGATCCAGCCTCCCATACATTCTCCTCCAGATCCTTCTTTGTATAGGCGAGGAAACAGCTTTTCGAAGAGACTAAGGAATTCCATACAGGCTACCCACCTATCTCATAGCAGAGCTGAGTCAAAATCGAGAACACAGATTCCACTACCAGCCAGTGCTCCTCACTTAATTGTCCAAAAACATGCTCCCTGATTAAGTGGAAACCATGCTCTAAACCAAAAGCAGCTCTTCTGCTCCCAGATCAGTTAGGTCTTCTAATATTGACAAGATGCAATGTGAGAAGAGCACTGAATGTCAGGATTCTATTTGAAATCTTAAGTCCACCTAGTGTGCAGTCAGCACATTGTATTGCTTCTTGCGTTGTTTCTATCCATGCCTGTCTTCTCAGAAGGCTGCATTCTCCACCAGGGATGGTCTATGCCTTGCTCATCTTTGTGCACCCCACCCCCAACAGCTGCTTACCATAGATTTTGTACACAATAAACCCTCAGTACATCTTTTTAAAAATAAACGAGTATCCAAAACACCCAACAAAACAGAGACAGCAAAGATGCTCTGTAGATTGAGAATGAGGGAAAAAATAATTAGCTGTATTTCCAGAAATAGAAAGCTTAGGAAGGACAGTTGCCTAGGTGTGAAGAATCACCAGGGAGTGGGTTCTAGACTAATGCACATTTTTCTGGAGCCCAGTTAGTTACTCAGGGATTCTCCACTCTTCACTCCTTAGGACATTTTGCTGTCTTCAGTGAAAGCTTTGTACACCTCTGATAAGAGCTGTCCCTCCTAAGGGACCAGTGCAATCCCTTGGAAAAGCTTAATCAGCCCTAATTGAGTCATAATACCAACCCAAATTAATTAGACTTTTAGAAAGTTGTCAACACCATTCAAGGTAACCTGGCTCTGACTACTCTGTAGCCATCACTGGGGAGTAAATGTTCAAGTTCTAAAAGCCTGAAATTCTACCAGTGACCCCTGAGTAAAGACCACTTTCTTCTCGATGACATTCACTCCACTGACATTTTATTTCCATGCCAAATGGAAATAAAAACAGAACATCAGACTCCAAGAAGGATCACTGAACTTCAACGTTCAAAAGGCCCATTTCTGCAGCGGCTTTACAAAGAAGCAACCTGGCATCAGCCTGTAACCCCTTATCAGAATCCTCATCTCAGAAAAGTGTCATTGCAGTCCTGGAAACCAAAAGCATCCCTGACAGAAGCAGAACCAAGTGTCTTCAGAACCAAAAGCCATCAAATCAAACAAATAAAATTAAACATTTTAAATCTCAGATCTTGCCACTGCAGCAATCCAAATATACCCTAAGCTCCCAACCACTAATTTCACCGCCATAAACTCTGTCCATAATGGCTTACTATTAATAATTGGAAGCAAAATTTGCAGCCTTACTCTCCAGGTACATTTATTTGGCATTTGCTAAATAAAAGTATCATTTAGAAAAAAAAACCTACTCTATTCTTACAAAACACACCTTTGAGTAGAAAACTCACAATCATCCAGAGGTGTCCTTTTATTAAGCTGCTCATATGCAGGGGACAGGTAGCAAGCCAGTACCTCCATCCCCATTTCAGAATGAGGAAGCAGCCTCAGGGACTTGAACTAAGTGAATCAGTTGTGAGGCTGAAATAGAAACCAAACTTCAAGATGACCTTGAATCAAATTCAGCCAGAAAAGAAGGCATAAATTGGCAATGACACTTGTTTAGCCTAATATGACTCCAGAAAAAAAGTCAGAACAGCCTCCTAAGGAAAAAGAAAAAAGCATTACTGTCGAATCCTAAATATTGTCATACATATGCCATTACCTTGGCAACTTCATCACATAAGCTTGCTGTTTGGGTATGGCCATATGTTACAGAGGCTGGATCTGTGCTGCTTTATTTTCCTTCTAAGTGCAATCCATAGAATGCTAAAATGACTATTTGTCTCACAAAATTACTTGCTACAATATGTGCTTATTCTTAAGTTTTGCATTAAATTTTAAAATCTGTTCAAATGCATTTGTTATTAGAATGAGGGGCATCATCGGAGAGAACTGCTCAAGTTGAAAGCCAAATCACATCTAATGACACCTCCTGAAGACCAAGAGTGTCCATCAAGGCCACCCAAATACCTAGTTACAAAGCTAGGTCAAAACCAAGAACACAAACCTGACTCCCACCCAATACCTTTAACTCAATTGTACCACGCTGTGTTCCCCAGTGAAGTGGAAACAATACTTCAAACTCAAAGCAGCCCTTCTGCTCCAGATCAATCAGGGCTTCTAAAATTGACATGATATATTTAAGAGGCACACCAAATGTCTGTCTGAAACCTTCCTGTCTCTTCAGAACATCCCTCTCCCTCGCCCCTGCTCTGCCACGCCCATGCCTTTAACGCTGCTGAGATCTCAAAGCCCAGAGAATTTGGACTTGCTCATGAGAAGGAAAAAACAAGAGCTAAAAATCTGGCTGACATCTAATGGCCCTCTTCACGGCACCATCCACCATGCACAACTATTTCCGCCCTTGTGGGAAACACAAGGCATCGCAGATAAGGGAAAACATGGAAGACGAGGGACAGCAGGCCTGTGTTCTAGTAAAATTCACACCCAGGAAGAAGTCGAAGGGTACAAAGCAGCTAGGGTAGTAAACTCTCAAAATAAAAAGCAACAAGAAAACTCAAAACTCTGTCAACTCAAGTGAATAATAAAATGCAGAGAATAGTCATTTGACCAAAGCATAGCCCAAGACCCTCCAATGACTTGGAGGGGAGGTCATTCAATTTTATAAACAAGCTCTTGGCTGGAACCTAGGTGTTCTCATTCCCAACTGAGCCCATCATTCCAAACCCCTAGGCTAAACTTTGTCTTGCTAAAATTGCTGAGAACGTGAAGCCTGCTTGGAATCATAATTGGAACCTGGAAAAGAAGGCCCTCATCCCACTGCACTGAAATTACCCATTTTCGTGTCTATATGCTCCTCTAAGCAGGAGGCTCTGTGAGGGCAGGACGCACAGAGGCCTGGACACCTAGCACAGTACCCGAATCATGGTAGGCACTTAGTACATCTCTTATTATACTAAATGGGTGATTTCCCATGACATGATGTGACCTGAATTCGACTTACACTTGTGGGAGAGAAGCACATCAAAGGAATCTGCCCACCTCGTAGCTTCTTCTGTGGATAGTCTCCTAGAAGAGAAGAAAACATCTCTCTTCAACATTTCTGAAATGACCTCCTTGCCCTCAACGACCGCCGAGATCTGCCCAGGAGAACGCACTAGAACAGCAGGGACCAAACGAAGACCACACCTGGATCCCTGCCATGCTGTCGCATGCATTCTTGGGTGACTGATGAACACACCTCAGGACTGGGATTCAGTGAGTTCAGTGTATTGGCTTTCAGTCTGAGGAACAAAGCTAAGGAAGTGCGTGATTTAACGACGGCACGGTGACAAAGGAAAGAAACTGGCCTTGCAGTCAGGAAAGTGAGGCTCAGCTCCTGACTCCAGCCCTTGATTTCTGCACCTCCGGAATGGGGACAGCAACGCCCATTCCAGAGCTGTGTGGGGGTGGAATGAGGTGACATCAAGGACATTTAATACAGCGACAGCACAGTATAGGTGCCGAATGCAGATTATCTGAATCTAAGCATATTTTTAGAGTAAGTTTGAGTGTTTATTTCCAAATTGGGAGCTCAGATTGACAACTAAGGAGAACCAAGAAGTATCCTTCACCGCCCACGGCTTTACGAGCGACGGATGGTATGGCTTTCTCAGGAGGAAAAGGAGGGCTCCCGTTCTGAGATCACTAAGCTATCCATTTTGAAAAGGAAAATAAACATTCCTTTCACTCACACGCAGGGACATAAAAGGAGTTGCCAAGAGGCACGAATGTATTGTCCTGTGGCTCCTCTGGCCAGCAGCTCGCCAGAGAAGTATGGGCAGTACGGCCATGACGGGCGCCCCACTGTGGGCACCCGGGCGGCGCCACGTGGCCAGACTACTCACTTGAGAGCGCGGTTGGGTTTGTCGGGAAGAATAGCTGTGAAATCGCTACACGAGTCTGACTTGTGAGACAGGCATCCCAGTCGAGTCCTCATCCCTTTGTTCCTGCAACAAGCACAGGGCAGGACGGGGAAGCTGTCGCGATCAGAGCTGTCAGTTGTGCAGGGAGCCCCTGGCGCTGCTGCAGGAGCCAGCGCTGCCCCCACCCGCCCCAGGGGGTCCCCGGAGACTCCATGAGCGCGAGGAGAACACCTGGAGAATCCTGCTCGTGGAACAGTCATAGGTCCCCTACCCGGCCCTAGAGGCTTAATGCTTTTTAAAGCTGACACAGCAAGTCGGTGGTAAGTCAATGAAGGTCGTTAGCTAGGAAAAATGTCTAAATTAGGATCCTCTGTAGGGCAAGGAAATACAATGACGACAAAATAACAATCTACATTTTGCTTTCCCACAAGGAGGGCAAAGAAACAGCAGCAGCAGCTCCTGGCTGCAAAGCCCCGGAAGGGGTCCCCACACCGAGAGCAGAGGGACACTTGCACAGGGCGCGGTGTGTGTCAGAGAGCCCCAGAGAGCAAAGCATGGGGCCTCCGGGCAGGTCTGTTCTGATCTGGTTCTCCCCCTCATCCCTCGAACCCGGTTATATACAGGAATGGGCACAGAGCTGCAGGGATTGATGCCTGCAGGCGAGGAGGAGAGCAATTGGTACCATCTCAATGGCTTTAAGAACCAATGTCCCCTTTGTCACTTCTTATACTTGCTTAACTAAGCTTTTGTATTCCTATTTACATGTTGGCTTATCTCAGTAAACATAATTAAATTTTTGGCACATAAATTTAAATTTCTCACATTTTTTTTTATTTTCCAAAGGACCCATCTAGTGACATCAGGCACTTATATAGTTATTCATATCTGTTTTGGAGGAACCAATGAGAAATTACACTAATGTCTCTTCCTGCCTCCTAACGTTCGCCTGTGTTTGTCTTTAACCAGGGCTTGACAAACCATGGATCCACAAGGGTGCCTGCTTGTAAAAATACAACTTTATTGGAACACAACGCTATTTGTTTACATATTGTCTAAAGTTGCTTTCAGCGGTGAGGGCAACGTTGGGTAGTTGCAACACAGACAATATAGCCCACAAAGCTGAAAATATTTACTCTCCGGCCCTTGACAGAACACGTTTGCTGACCCCTGACCTTTAACCATGGCAACTCCTCCACATTGAGAGCAAGGGTAAGTGGGAAGGGTTTGGTATGACTATCATCAGATCAGGCCCTAAGAGTGACTTATCAAAGGGAAATGCCTCACACACATTTTGGCACAAAATTTGCACAATTTTCCAAAGCAATAGCCCTAGAAGATACCATTCTCCATATGGAAACGAAATCCTTCCAGCCTGGCTCTTTCTCACAAATCCTAGGGCTGGACGTAGACCTTATAGGTCACCCAATTCAATCACTTCCTTTCACTTTAAATGGATTTTCATCCCTGGTAATTGTCTTTGTTCATAGGAATCTTATCCAAGAAATGTCTACTGGGATGGTATTATACTTGGCAGGGATGGACAGCATTTATATTCCAAAGCACTTCTCTGAAGAGCCTTTCAGGGCTAGAACATCCAAGTTTCCAGAAATATCCTTTGTCCTGCAAAAAAAAATCGGCCCTGTGCATGCCCTGCCCCCACCCCAAATCTCAGGCAGGCCACGCTGTACAGCCATCTCTCTCGTGGCATTTCCAAGCATTGGCCACAGCCATTCCCTCTCCCGAGACAGCGAGCATCTCATGCGTCCACTCACTCTCGCAGATCGCAGGGTGCCTGACACCAGGCTATGCAAGCAACTCATTAGGGGCCCTTGAGTCATCACATTCTGTGCATTCAAGGAAAGGTCCCGCTCAGGCCACATCCCAGGCCAGAACCCAACCTTCCGCGAGTCGGTTCCTTCCTTGCGGCCTCAGGATCATTACTCATAAAACAATCAAGTCACTGCCCCCAACGGACAATTATGAGGACTTCCAAAAACACAAGCCATTGAACAAGGTTTAGCAGGGGACATTGCAAAGGGTGCTATCTGTTACCAAGGCAACTGTGCTTCCCCCAAATAGTGTGCAAAAATCTTCAACAAAATATTCTTTGGAACAAAATGGGTTTTATTTTTCATCTTTCAAGCTGAGACCTGAGTTATAAACTTTTTAGTTAGGTCTGAAATAATGACAGCAGAAGCAAAGGGTGAGGTTACTTAAAACAACCACAGCAGTAGCGGCGAAACAAACTAGGCTCTCCCTCACCTGCCTTCTCTCCACAACCCTTATCCCTGTAACTCACAGAGGTTCCCAAATGGTTCCATACAGCTCATGCACGGCCCCTCATCATCCCACCCCACACGTCACCGCCAGGATGTCCCGCCATTCAGCACAAGGGCTCAGAGCTAAGGCAGGTCCTGCTTGCAAAGCCACGACTTTGCAAGAAGCACACAGGCAAGAACAGCGCAATGGACGCAGAGGCCCTGGGGACCCACAGGGGTGGACCACCCCTGGGCTTAGAAGGCTTGGGCCAGGCTCAGACAGCAGGAAAGGCAGGAAGGTGGAGAAAGGAGGGAAGGGGCAGGACAAAGAAACAGGCCATCAGTCCGTTACCTGCGTGGCATCAGTAAGGCAGCCATACAGGCATCCGCTTACGGGTACCCCTGGGCTGGTTTGCAGGGACGTCAGGGCAGGAAATGAGGCTGCGGGGCTCAGGGATTTGCCCTTTCACGACCTCTCACCTAAAATCAAAGAATCTGCGGTGAGAGGGGCCACCCTGTCATCTGACTGCGCTACGTGTCCTCTGGGATGGCTCTCTGCCGCTGCCACACCTCCCCACACGCACCCCGGTCCCCACAAACGTCCACTTGTCCTCAGCAAGGGCGACGGACCGAGGAGAGACAAGAGCAAACTGCTGGGCGGCTTTACGTTGCGATGCTGGTCGGGAGTTCTGACTTCCCCAACCACTCGCCACCAGCAGCAAAGTGGGACGTGTGCCCCAGGGGAGGCAGGGGCCTGGCAAACCCAAAGCGACTGTTCCCTTTCTCTCAGCAGAGTGGGGCCCAAGTGACCAGCCAGCAAGGGGCGGGGCTGGGGGTTCAGCACCGGCTCCAAAATGATGTGATCGGAGGCTGCTCGGAGTCTCGCCTGCCCCCCGGGTGCCCGTCCTGGTGGGCGTGCGTGGAGACTAGGGGAGGTGGGGGCGGGAGGGAGGTGGGAGTCACTCCAGGGAGGCTTGTCAGGCACCGTCACAGTCAGACACGGGCTGGAGAGATGACTACGCAGTCAAGTCACCCTTTCGTGCCCACGTGGAGGCTGCGTGACTCTCCTCCACCTGGGACTGGCCCCTTCCTGACCCGAAGCAGGGAGAGGACATGAGGGTGGGGGCACAGGGGACATTGAGGCTGAGGGCTGATTGACTTATAGTCTTCCTCTCCTGAGGGTCCCATTCTCAGGGCCTCAGACCCTTTGTTCCCACAGAAGAACGCTGCTGGGAAGAGACACGGGAGAGAGCAGCCTCTCCATAAAGGGTCCCCGGGGACCTCTGGCGCCAAACACAGAATCCATCCGAAAAGAAACCTAATTTCGACAGATAAGTCTCCTATGTGAGCTATACCGTTTAAATTATTTTTATATCGCCCTGCACATTTCACAAATACTTCTTTAAATAGCTTCTCTAATAATACCATAATTAATAAAAAGATTGCTTTGTTAAAAAAAAAAAACGAGTTAGACTTTGCGTAAAGGCTCATCCACATGGAGGGTTCCCTGGCAGCAGGGACATTTCCTTCATCTTTGTCCTGATCAGGCTTACACCTGCTTGCCCAGAAGTCTGGAAATCAAAACCCTCTGTGGCTGGAAGGGTCCCCAGGAATCATGTGTGGGCACCTAAGCCTCCTTTTCTCATGCTGGGGGACACGGCCTACAGGCCTCTGTCACACTGGAGCTGAGCGGAACCAGAGACTATGACCCTCGACCCATGTAGACCACAGGGAAGGGAAGGTCATTTGGGCAGGGGGCCACTCAGCCTTTTGTCCCTGCCTTGTCGCCCTTCCCACCCCACTGCCAGCCAACACCGGCTTGCCCATGCTGTTCGGATGCCCGACTCACTCTCTTCCAACGCCAGCACTGCCCGGATTGCCCCTCAGACCCGCCACCTTGCCTCTGATTAGCTCAGCCTCAGATTCCACCAAATAAGGATCAGCAGGACACGCTGGCCCAGCGGCCTGGCCCATTCCGGCATCTCGGGGCTCTTAGCCCATTTGGCCTTAGACTTATAGAGGACAGAGTTAGAGGTTCCTCAGAGCCCAGGAAGTTCAAGGGTGTGATTGCACCCGCTGTGCATGTGCCCTGGTAGGTGGCATCAAGTCACAGGCGACTCCAGGGCAGACAGAATGGGGCATGATGGAAAGAGAGGATGCTCAAGGAAAAAACAAAGGTTAAAAGCAAAGAGCAAAGATTTATAAAGAGGAGGAGAGAAACTAAGAGCCTCAGCGGGGAGAAAGCAATCAATATGCATGAAGAGGCAGGTTAATTAAATATGGATAATGCAGTCAGTACACACAGACACCCAGGGAGGAAAGAGAAAAGCAAAAGCAATACTCACTGTCTTTGGCCAGTCCTCATGGCCTGCGGGTCTTTGCCAACTGGATGGTCGGAGAGGCTGCGGGTTAAGGAGCTCTGGAGAAAAAGTAGACCTTTCTTTTAGCAGTCAAATCCTTGGCGGGTGAAGGGCATGTGTGCATGAACACGCAAGTGCACACACACACACACACACAGAAGCATGCACAACACACCTCCCACCACTTGAGCCGGGCAGCAAGCGGCCCTGCTGAACGCTCCTCTCTCTGCTTGTCACATCCAGTAAATACTGAAGCAGCCGACACCCGGCGGGCGGCGGCTCAGCTCCCGGGCACGGGCTGCACGCCCGTCCTCATTGGCAGGAGGCAGGAGATGCCCCTGAGCAGAGCTCAGCCTCACTAACCTGGAGCTCCTCGGGCTGCAGCTCAGGGAGAAGTCCCGGAGCCCACGGCTGCCTCCCTCTGCACCCGGAGGCTGTGCAGGGGGCAGCAAAGAATAGGTATTAACTCTTTCCAGCCACCAGTGAGCTGCAAGTCAGATGTCCAGGGGGTCCCCTCCTAATGAGCCCTGCTGCGGGCTGGAGCTTGGCTGCTGCACTGGGAGCAGGGAGCAGAAAGATCTTGCCCCAGACAGCTGCTGACAGCAGGAGCCACACCGAATCAAATCTCCTAATGAGCCAGGAGGAGGGGGCTGTCTTGCTGGGTGTGATGTGATGTGATAAATGCAGAGAGCAAGAGAGCTACGGGGCAGGTCACACATCTAAATTCCACCCCCTTCCTCCCAATCTCTATTGTGCTGCGCTACCCAGCCAAACCGCACAGCCCTGAAATTAGTCCTCTCTGCCACCGCTCAGCTGTCCCCCTTACCCTACAGAGGCATTTCCCCCAGCCCATGGCCGCTCCCACTCCCCACCACTGCCAACCACACCCCTCCCCACTTCTTAATGAGAGATTTCCGCCTCCTCTGCCTCCCCGAACACGCATATTTCCAACTCCGTGCTCTTGCCTCTCACCTGGCTTTTCCTGCAGTAGAGACTCACCTCTCTCCCTCATCAATCACCTAGCAACTTCCCCCTACTTGCATTTGTTACCGAGTGAGACTTTTCCCTTTGTTCTGCCTGATCTGCACGTTATCCCTATTTTTCTGTCGGTCTTTCCCGTTTTTTCTTCCAAACCTCCTTACCCACATGGATCTTCACACTGCCTGCTTCAGTTCCAGAAGGAAGACTCTCTCCCCGCTTGCCCTAGGACAATGGTTCTCCAAGTGTGGTCCCCAGACCAGCGAAGTCAGCATCACCTGGGGAGTATTAGAAATGCAAATTCTCAGGCCCCACCCCCAGACCTACAGAATCAGAAGCTCTGGGGATGGGGACGGCCTTCCAGGTGATTCTGATGCATGCTAAAGTTTGCAAACCATTACTCTTGAATAAAGCATGCCTTCTTATTATGCTCTAGGTCTCTGAGGCTGAGTCTATACTCCCACTCAGGAACCAGCTCCAAATACAAGCCTCCTAGCCTTTGCTGCAAGTCATTTATAAAATTCAGAAGGCAGCAGAAATCTTTACAGAAAGTGATGGCTTTATAATAATGGTAATAGATTCCACTTGTTTAACTTTTTAAAATGTATAAAGCATCTCCATGTACTGTCACTCAACAATCCTGTGTCATAGAAAGGGTATTATTGTTCCCATGTTACAGATGAAAAAACTGAGGCTAGAAAAGATGAAGTGACTTTTTCAAAGTGACACAACACACAAGAGGCAGCACAAAAGCCAGAGTTTGTGTCTTATGACTCTAACAGCAGAGCTTTTTTCACGACGTCATCCTGGGAGCTAGTCTTTCTGGGTGGATCTATCGGTGCATAACCTGTATTCTCTCAGTGAAATGATTCTGCAGCAACTGCTCATTGCCTGATGATAGGATGAAATAAAAATTCTGATGCTGCCTCCACAGTGACGCATTGTCTCTCTCTGATAATGTCCACAGTGCTCCTCTCTTAGGGAAATTTGTGTCATAAAATGAGATTCAAAGGAAAAATTTCCAATTCCTTATAACTCCTGCCTTGAATACAATTGCTAGCTAGCTAGGATTTAGAACTCCACCAGAAAGAGAATCCTTCACTTCTGGACATTTCCCTGGTACACTGTACTATCAGAAACAAGTACACAGACAAAGAGTTAAATAAAAGCCCGCTGATAAGCACTTCCCTAATCCAAGATATGTTTATACCATAAGGTGAATCTACATAGCTAATGTTTAATACACATAGCTAATGTTCAACGAGCATTTAGTATGTGCCAGACACAGCACAAAACATTTCACTTGAGCTACCTTATTATCTTATTTAATTCTCACAATAAAGTTACAAGGCTGGCAACTTTATTGTCCCATTTTACAGATGGAAAAACAGAGACAAGTCATTTATAAGTAGCAGAGCTGGTGTCTGATACCAAACTCGATGCTCTCAGCCTCGGCTCTGCCCCTCACTTTAACGCAAAGGTAGTGTCATTATGGGACACTTTTCTGCCAGTCCCCCAAGTCCCATGCTGCCAGGCTGGTATATGGGATGAAAAGCCCCCGAGGAGAGAGGGCAGGGCTGCAGATGGGCCAAGTCTCAAGCGGAAGCTGATCAATATTAACCAGACATCAGAGTCTCCAATAAGCCTTTAGAGAAATAATACAGTCACAGGAAGTCAATAAGTCAAGTGTTTAAGAAAAGATATGGCAATTAAGAAAGATTTAAAGGAAAGAACAGGAGCATAAAGAGCTGAAAGACAAGAGTGTATGGAGATGTATGGCATTAGGAAAAAGAGAAAATTCAAATTAGTCCAAGCTTTATTGACCAAAACACTCCTAAACCCCAAGGAGTCACCGCCCAAGCACCCCAGTCTGAAAAGTGCAGACCTAGGACAGGTCCCTCTAATGGGAGGGCTCTGTCTTAATCTGCCAAAGGGACAATGCATGAAAAGTGTCAGGGGGAGAATTGAGCTGAACCTCAACTAAAGTAAAGCATTCTAGCATTGTCTTCCTTCCTGCAGAAAAGAGACAGGACTAGGCGGCAGGGTGCCCCTCCCACTCAGACTCTGCATTTCCCAGGCTTGGAGTCCTGGCCCAGGAACAGAGAGCTCTGGAATCTTTTCTGGCTACCGCTCCTGACTTGCCGGCTGAAGACTGGGCACAGGACATCTCAACTGGCTGTGACTCATGGTTTACTCTTGCCTCTCGGGCTGCCAGGCACCCCTCTCTGCTCTTCCCATCCCACACCGGCTCCCCTTGGAAACCCTGCCCTCTCCTGCACGGGCCACCCCCTCCAGAGTCAGTGCTTCAGTTCTGCCTCTCCTGAGCTCCAGGCTGCTTTCCCGAGATCTGCTGGACAGCTCCTCCCAGCTCAGCCCTGCACGCCAGGCCACATCTCAGACAGCCACCTTCCCCTTCAACCCTCCCTTCCTGCTGGCCTCCCTGCGTTTGCTCATGACATACATCCCTCTGCCCCAGTCCTCAGGGCAGCAAGTACAGACGTTCCTGGCTTCTTTTCCCTCCATTCCCCTTGCTGAATTGGTTTTTTGATCTTGTCATTATATTTCTGAAATCTTTCTCGACGTCCTCCCCTCCCATCCATGGAGGCTGCCATGTCAGAGGTTATTCGACTCCCAGCACCGAGCATGTCCTCCTGCTCCTTCTTTAAAGTGGACCGTCTATGTAACCAGTCTTCATGGGCTCTGTTGCAGCTCCTATCCTGGCTGACAATAAGTCATTTACCTCTCCATTTACCTCTCCAGTTTTATATAAATTGCATACATGCACACATGCACACACACACACACACACACACACACACGTGTGCGTGGTTCCTCTGCTGTTCCCTGTGCCCAGAATGTCCCCACCCTCGATCTGCTTGTTAACCCCAAGCTGCTTCTCTAACCCCCTGACCTCTAAGTTAAAACTCTCCTTTCCAAAGCTTTTTCAGAACTCTCCCATCAGAAGCAACCCCTGCATTCCAGGACCACCGCCTTGTCGTATGACTCTCTGACAGCCCACATCACAGCCTTAGTTTATCCTTGGGATTTATGTTTTCTGATCCTCCCAACTGACTGTACACTCCAAAAAGGCGGGCTCCACGACTTAACTCCCTTTGCTATTCATTCTCATTGCCTACCATGGAGCAGGTGTTTAGTAAATGTCAGCTGAATTTGATTTTGAGTTCATGAAAAAGATCTGAAAAATCACTGAAGATTCCTTTTGGCAGAAACATGTTAGGCTTCTGCAGTCTCCTGGTCAAGACCGAAGTGGACAGAACACTAATGGCACTCAGGGGCCGCAGCATAGGTATGTAAGGCATTTACAAACTACCCCAGCAGCCTGGGCAGGGCAAGGTAGAATTAATCAAGAGCAAAAAGAGCACTGGGCATCATCACACAGGCCACAAAAATGTAATTAGATTGGAGATAAAGGGAATTTAAATCTGTAATATAATATTTTAAAAAGCCATGACAGTACAGGAGGAGGTTTATTGCGAAATGCCCCCCTGTGTGTTTATTTAATCAACATACCACCTAGGATAGTACCACATTAAAAGCTTTTAATAAAACAGTCATTTGGATATTAGATTTGAATTCTGGTCAGCACGCTAAAGCTCTTCCGTAAATCTTTTAAAAGCGATTTCCACTTCGCAGCTTCCTAGTAACAGTAGAAACATGAATCAACATATGCTGCATTGATTTAGGGTTTCCATGGAGACTGGAAGGACACAGGGAAGGGCAGGACAGAAAGAGGCCACTTGGCCCAAAATTCTACTTTAAAAAAAATGCATCTCAATTTCATTCCTCTGAGCATTAGCAGCCTCATTTCCTGTTCATCAGTTCAAGCATCCAGATACTTAATTTATAATAACCCTGCTCGACTCTGCATCGGAAGGGACATGAAGAGAAATCAGAGGCTAAACCTGTGAGCCCATGAGGTTTGCAAAGAAAACCAGAGAAACCACAGGATGTGGAATCAGAGGAAAGGGCCTTTGGTCCTAACCCTGCCATTAGCTAGCTCTGTGGTGACACTAACTACCTTTACCAGCTCTGTGATCACCAACATGACCAAGAGCTTTGAATTTTAATTTCCTCATCTGGAAAACACAAATTAACACACCTGCCCTGTCTATTTTTCAGGGTGATTATATGCAAAGGAATGAGAAAGTCTTTGGGGAAATGCTTTGTAAATTCCAGTGCACCATACCCTATTATTATATTTGGATATGATCTTAGCTTCCCTTTAAGTGGAATTTTGCCAGTGAGCAAGTAGATGCAAAAGAGATTTCTGATTTAGTGCAGAGTAGACTGACCTGGAAAAGAAAGTACAAAGGATCTGACAGCCCTGAGTTTCCATAATTTCATATTATTTCCATAATAAGCCCTGAGTTTCAGCTCCATGATTTTCCAGATCTGGAACTGTGGGCAAGCTACTTGCCCTCTCTGAGTGTTATTTTCATCATGGGTACAGTGAAGATAATAATAGTACCAATGTCACAGGCTTGGTCTAAGGCTTAAATTAGACAATGTAATAGAGTGTTTACCACAGTGCTTGGCAAATGACAGATGACTGTTAGGTGTGAAACACTATTCTCATTATCAGTAGCTTTATCAGCTAACTATGCTTCATCATCTGTAAAATGGGAATTAGAATTCTCTGCTTTACACAGAAGATTATTCAGATAATGTCTGAATAATGTGAAATTTATATACATATATATATTTGTTCAGCTATTTAACAGGCTGTTTGGGAAAGGTGCTATAGAAATAGAATGTCATTATTTAAAGATTCATTTTTTACCACCTGCTCACTGAGGTGACACAAAAATGTATAAGGTGACACATTTGTAAGAGCTTCCTGGTGGCTGGGGGATTACATAAGTCTCTTGAGCCTTCCTTTTTCTCCTGGCCGCTCACTGTGGGCTTTTCCCCTTTCTAGCCTCTTTCCTTTATTCACTACCTTTATACTCCCCTTTATAAGTGTGTCTAGAAAGGAATTTTTAAAGTTAAACTTGGGAGGCTTTGGTATCTAAACCTGCAATTCTTCCTTAGGTCTCCTAAAATTAAACAATATGGCAACACTGAGGGAAATGACACAAAAACAGGAGACAATACAGGATTACACAATGCTGTCTCTCGGACAATGATCATCAGTGTTTAAGATAAATCTTTAAAAACTTATCAACCAAATGAAAAATATGTACTTTATTTTGGGTTCTGATTCACATTTAAAACCATAAAAATATTATGAGACAATTGGGAAAATCTGAGCCCTGATTGGATACGACATTATTGTTAATCTTTTAGAGTGATACTGACATTGGGGTTATTTTTTTCTTAAGAGACTTTATATTTTAGATATACACTCTGAAATGTTTACAGTTAAAATGAAATGCTATCTGGGAATTGCTTCAAAGTCATCTTGGGTGGGAAGCTGGGTGGCAGTTACTTGGGGGCTCATCATTCTGCTGTCTCCGCTTGTGTGTATTTGAAATTGTGCAGAACAAAAGTCTTAAAAATAGTGTGACCAGTGACAAAGTGTAACTTCAGTAAAATGAGCCTACAAAGTGTACGCTATTAGTGCAAGAAAACTGAAATGTAGAAGGAGGAAGTGGTTTGAATAGGAATTGATTTCCTGTATATTTTCCATTGTAAGTTTTCTTCCCCATGAATAAATCCATTTCCAGAAAAACCTATAATTCGATGCCTAGAGAGCAGGTGCTAAAATTCCCTGAGGTTTAGAGTGAATAGGACTTTTAGACACCACCTATAGAAACGAAACTTTAAAGCCTTTGCCCAAGGCCACATTTTCGAGAAGCATGGCCAGGCCTCCAGCCCGGGGATCCTGGGTGGAATCCAGCTACACCCTTTGTTCCCACTGCTGAACAGCCCGTCTGCACATGCAGATCCAAGGCAGTAAGTCAACACTGGACGAGGGTACAAATGATGCGCTGTTTGCTCACCTCCCAGCCCTTCTCTGTTCCTATTGATGATCTCAGCCTTAAATAGTGAACTTGGTTTTTACAAATTAGCTTCCCAGTGACCAGCTGGCTTCTGCAAAGGCGGCTGAAGGGCAGAAAGTAGAGTGTAGAGAAAGACAAAGCTCGTGCCACACACACAATCTCTCCCACACCAGCCTGGTCTCCATGTCATCAACATAACTGAGGCCTCCGAGACGACATACCTGCACCCCTTTTCCCTTCTCAACCCCTGCAAATCCATCCACCTCACGCGCATGCTCACTTCCTTCTCCCGCCCGCAGGCCTGTCTGTTCAAGGTGAGCCCTTCCTCCCACGGCCTTGAGCCCACCCTCCTCCACCGAGGGGCCTTGTCGGCTCTCTCCTCTCCTTTACTCTTGTTATTTTACACCCAGCAATAACATGCTCAAGCCTCTTTCATCAAAAAATAATAACAATTTCCCCCTGGGTGTGCCTCCCTTTGTCAGCAGAACTGCTTGGAAGAGTCCCCTCTGTTTCCTTTCTTCCCTTCCCTCCCCAGCCCTTTGCCCTTTGGTTCCAGTCCCGCCATTCCCCACACGGCCTCCATACTGTGGCATCCAATGGGCAGGTCCCCGTCCTTGTCCTTCTGGAGCCCTTGGCTGCATTTGCACGGCGACCACTCATTTCCTCGACTTTACCCCCTCGACTTCCTGGGGCTGCGCTCCCCTGTCTGCCCTTCCCCTGCTCTCGTCCTCCTCTGCCCGCCCCACAAACTCAGGCATGTCCCCTGTCTCATCTCACCTGGGCTCCCTGCTCTTCTCTCCCTGCATGCTGCTTGGGCCCTATCCTAACTGCGCCGAGTACACTGGCCATTTCTAAATGTTCTTCTCCGACGCTGGCCCTTTTCCCAACCTCGTAGCCTCCTGTAGGCCAGGGGTTGCTGAACACGCCCCTCGGATATCCCACAAGCACAACACACGAGCTCATGATATTTCCATCTTTTCCTGATCCATTTTATCTGCCGCCCCCACCCCGCCCTCCTCCCGCCCCACCCCCACACACAAACCTTGGCTCCCTCGGGATTTGCTGATCTCAGCCTGTGGCACCGCCATCCACTGGGTGACTCGGGCCAGAGACAGGGGAGGAAGGAGAGGCAGCTCCTTCGCTGTCATCGCCCGTCATCAGCCAATGACCGAATCATACCGACTACACCGTTCGCAGTCTTCAGATCTGCCTCCTCCCCTCCATCCTCACTCCCACTGCCCCGGCGTGTGTCCCCGGGCTCCTGGTTCGTGTCCCCGGGCTCCTGGTTCGTGTCCCCGGGCTCCTGGTTCGTGTCCCCGTGCTCTCTGGTCTCCACGATACAGCCTGTCTTTTTACACCCAGCTCCACTCTGCAGCCTTCGTCGCCTGTGGGGATCACACAGATGACAGGGCTTCTTCTCCTCACAACCTGTGAGCCTCGGGACAAAGCTTCATAAAGATCCTGACACACAGACCCCCGAGATCCGGCCACCCGAGAGTCGCGCACTCCTCCCTGGCTTGTGCTCGGCTCCAGCGACTAACTCCGCGTCGCGCACAATCTTGAACACACATGCCAGGCTCCCCGCCTCTGGTCGCCCTTGCTCCCCTTCCCTCTGCCTCACGTGCCCTTGACCGGACTGAATCCTACTCGTCCTTCAAGCTGCCCTTCAGGACCACTTCCTCCAGGAAGCTTCTGGAACACACCGTTTCAGGAAGTGCCTCTGTGCCCCCGGGGCTCCCGGGCAAACTTCCCTGCCACAGCACCTGGCACAGTTGGGCGCCTGCAAGTCTCTTCTCCTCATCAGATCTTAGATTCATCAAAGGCAGGGCATGTGCACTCATTCATTCATTCAACTCGCATGTGAGTATCTCCTATGTGCCAGGCAGTGTGCCAGGCAGGTGTGCAGCACATTTCGTTTACCCAGGTAAAAGATATATTTTTCATTTCTGTGTCTCCGAAACTTAGCACAGTGCCTGGTACCAAGAAGAGGCTCAGTGAGGGTGCGCCGAGCTGACCCGAGCCAGCCAGCGGGCGTGTGAGGGACACCACGCCCGGAACAGGATGCTGGCCAACCGAGGCAGGGGGAGTCACAGGAGCGGCACAGGCTCCAGGGTCGGTGACAAGGTTTCAAGCTTCGACTCAGCCCCCTCGTGCACGGCAGGCTCTTCTTAGCTTAGGACCTTGCTTTCCCATCGCCGAAATCAGAATCACTAAGGCCATGCCAACTTCCTGTGTGCGTGTAAGAATTCAATGACATAGACAAGGAAACACGGCTTATAAATTATTTAGCCGTGTGAAAACATGAAGCCACATGGAGCGCATCAGAGTCAGCGAAGGAGAGGCCCCACACCAGATGGGGGCAGAGGCAGGGGCTTCGTGCACGGGGCAGCAGGGCCAGATGCGGAGAAGCAGGGGCCCTCGTCTCCAAGCCCTGGGCTGAGCTGCGAGCATGCGGCACAGCCACACTGACACGTGGCCCGTTCTCCTGTCTCTCCGCGCAGGGCGCTGGCTGCCAATCTGTTCCCCTTCTCTGGCAGTCACAAAAGCTTTGGCATTTGCCATCGGGGTCTACAGCTGTGGGCAGCTTCAGCACTCTCCCCCTCCTCTGAACAGAAAATAAGCTCTTTCTAATCCTCCATTTTTAATGACTTTGGGCAATGGCTTTCACGTCCTCCCTTCCAGCTCACGGTCTACAGCCGCCCAGAATCAGGCAGGAAGGAAATTCCACAGCCACGGGAGCCAAGAATGGGCTGCAACCGCTGCCACCGCCGGAGGAAACAGTGCAGCGGAAACTGGGACTCTGGGGACACTTCTCTCTCGCTGGAATCTCCCCCTGGGTGCACAGAGCCCTCTGGGACACGCGGCGTCTCAGCGGGACGCCTTGCTCCGGGCCATGTGCGCGTGCACACGGCTGTCTGCACTGGGGGCAGGAGGAGGGCAGGGCTGAGTGGGCTGCTCTCTGGTGCACGGAGACGCTGAGCAAGTGCTCCCTGACACTTCTGCTGGAGAGACAAGGCCCTGGGAGGAATCTGCCTTAAGCCGCCCGGCTTTTCTGGGACCTTCTAGGATCTTTTATTGAAGAATTCAAAGGCTTTTTAGAAATTCCACGCAGAGAGCACTGACAAAGTTCCTGATGACAATGCTCATGTGTCCTGGGCAGTGAAAAATATCTTAATCCCCAAGGCACAGAGGGGAAGCAAAGAAGCACTTCTAATATCTCTAGAGATGTAGATGTTTGGGCAAAGAGGAAACGAGAAAGCACAAAACAGAAAGCCTGGGATAGAATTGACAGAAAAATGGTTCTGAGCCATGAAGTCATTACACAGAACAAGACTTCTATTTCGATAGCACAGTCACGACTTACAAAGTGCTTTCGCTTTTCTAGCTGCACTTCGTCAAGGTTTTTAACCTCCTTGAGCCTCAATTTATCCTGAGGAGTTGGGAGAATTAAACAGCATCATGGAAGGCAAGTACCTAGCACAGTTGCTCAGCACATCTTGACCATTGGGAGCTATCGTTATTCCTCTTTTTCTTTTTTGACATAGGGTCTCACTGTGTCAAAGTGCAGCCTCCAACTCCTGGGCTCAAGTGATCCTCTTACTTCAGCCAATTTTTTATTTTATTTTATTTTTTGTAGAGACAAGCTCTCACTATGTTGCCCAGGCTGGTCTCCAACTCCTAGCCTCAAGCGATCCTCCTGCCTCAGCCTCCCAAAATGCTAGGACTACGGGCATGAACCACTGCACCCAGCCCCACAAACACACTTGAAAGCAGTTTGGGGGCTTGTTATTGTTCTCCTTTTACAGATTACCAAACCAAAGCTGCTCAGAAGCCCCAATTGAAGGGCCCAGAGTGATTCAGTTAGTAGCCATAGGAAGACGTGAACCCAGGACCGCCAGTGCTTCTTCCACCCCACGCAGCTCTCTGTGTACTCGGCTGCTGCTGCTGACCAGTCCCTGAGACCCACACTTGGAGGGGTTTTCTTAATGGAAGTATGATGAGTTGTGCTCAGCCATCCCCTGAGAGTACCTGGCATTTGTGGCATGGCTGCAAATGTGGCTGTGAGCTGTGTTCTCCAGGTCAGAGTTCACTGACCCATGGGAGAAAGGCCTTGGCCTCACTAGCACAGTCAAGTCCACTGGACAAAGAGTCTGGATATGAGCAGGTTTCCAGATTCCTTTGTGTGTTAGGCACTATGTGAAATATATATATATATATAGTAAAGGCATCTGAAAGCCAAGGGTGGCTGACCTTGGCCTGGCCATGGTAGGATGTGACCATGCTACACACTCCGCTCCCCGCTCACCCACTCCCATCCACCTTGCAACTCTAACACACACTTCTTCTAAGGATGGGCAGAGAGCAAGCAGTTAATAAAAATCAGTCTACTGGATTGATTGCTCATGGGACTATCATTCTCAAAATAATAACAGCTATCATCAGCATCATACCATGTTGCATGTTTAGAGCTTGTAACTTCTCACAAGCACTAATATAATCTCATGAATATAGTTATCTCACTCCCACTTTCCAGCACCTCCTCCATCTTCCAAGAAAACCCTAAAGTTTTTCAAATCTGTAGGAAAAAATAATACAAAATTAGCCCAAGTTGCAGGAGGGGGTAAGCTTTCCCTCATGATTTCGTTAGGCTATATAAGCAACCCAAGGCTGGGACCAACAAGAACCACCAAGCCACGTTTTCAGTACGTGGTCCAACAATGGATTGATATTGAGTGGCTCTAACACAGAAAGAGAAGAGCCACCCTTCTCCCCCATGCTCCGAAAACACTCATTCACTGGACAGCCCTGAGAAGGACTCGTTGGGCTGCTGATGCCAGGGAGTCCTCACCTCCTGTAGGTGGCAATTGTGCCCTCACCTCCCATAGGTGGCAATTGTGCCCTCACCTCCTGCTTAGGAATTGGTGACCTCCATTGTATTTTAATCTCCCTCCAACGCATTGTGATTGCGAGTCCTTCTGCATCGGAATGTGTCACCAGAGTTAGTCACCAGCAACACTAGAGACCTGAACGCTGGCTGGAAACAAAACAGATGCCGTGCACAGCCAGACTGCTGTGCAGGCGACCCATTGCACACAGCAGCAGAAGAAGACATGAATGAAACTAAAAATAAAGAGCCTGTGCCACAGTCCGGATATCAATCTACAAGATTTTCAGAGCCAGCATCTGAGGGAAGAAACACGATCACTTTCGACCAGAAAGCAGGTTTCAGGGGACCTGAGGGGCTGGGATTGAGGAGCTTGGAGAATAACAAAGGACATTTGCAGCTTGGCACCTGCTGGCTAGGAAGAGCAGGGCATTCCTGCACCCATACCTGGGGCAAAGGTGGCAGCGGGCTTAGCTGCTCAGAGGACTCTGTTAGGAATAAATGGGGGCGATGACAGGGGGACGGTGCCTTTCTTTCCTGCCTTGCAGTGTCCTGCACCCCTAGCAAGACTCATGGTCCAGGCTGGCCCGCTCAGGGACCCACTGTGGCCCTGCTGGAAGCAGCTAGTCTCTCTTACCTGTCCGGCGGTGGGCAGCGCAGCTGGGAAAGTGTGGCTGGCACGGGCCCCAGCTGAGCATGGCTCGGCGAGGCCCTGAGTGACAGAGTCAGCCACTTCCTCCCGGTACCTGGGAGAGGGTGGCAGAGGGCGCCCACCTCGGCCGGCGCCCCTGGAAGAGCGCCTGCAGCACCGGCTCCGCGGGCTCTGCTCCTCTCCAGCCTCTGCAGCTCATGAAACCGGGAAGAGTGAGGAGCGAGGAGCGGAGCGGGAGGAGGGGGTGGGGACGCGGAGGGAGGGGAGGGGGCACTCTGACAGATGATGCGCACTGCCACGCAGAGCCGGGGGAGGACCGCAGGCTCCAGCAGGATGGCACTGCCTGTGTGGCTCTCCCGCTAACCGCTCAGCTGCCTCCCAGGGGCTGTGGCTCTCTGGAATGCAGGGAGAGGCAGCGCGCAGCGGGAGGGCGGAGGGTGGAGGGGAGAGAGGGAGATCACCTGGGTACCAGGAGGGGAGGCAGGGTAACCGTCGTCGTGGGGAAGAAAGGACAACCTGCTTTTGCTCAAAAATAGCCCAGGGGGGAAATGTTTGATTTATGAGATGGTGAGAGGGAGAAAACAAAGCCTCCTATTCCATTCCTGGTCTGGCTTCAAGGTTGTCTCTGTCTCCTCGAGTAACCAACAAGGCCACTTGGCTTAGGATTTGAGGAATGGCTTGGGCAATTCGTATCAGACACAGCTCCAACTTTCTCAAAAAAATCAGACATAACATAATGCAAGACATGTTCAGTGTCATTTGTCACTCTGTGCTGCAGGCAATCCTGAGCACCCCCTCTGCCACCTGCCCAACCTGTGACTCAGGGACATGGTGGCAAGAACAGGAGCTATGTGCTTGCAATGGGCCCATTAGATGACATCCTCCACGGGGCTCAGGAGACAGAGAGAATGTGTGGTGTGATGTTCTGTCTGTAAAGTTCCATTTGGATAGTCAGGAGAAAAATCTCTGGCCAGCCTGGGCCAGCGCCCCCAGCAGCTCTGGACCCTCCACGTAGATCCCGGAGTCCCCTGGACCCGCCATCCACAGGCGGCAGGTTCACTGCACAGGCCCGAGGCTGACAGTCACCAGCTCTGTTTACAACCACAGCCGGAGAAAGAGGCTGACAGGGAAATAAATAAACAGTGGCAGCCAGAGGAGACCAAAGGAAGCCGCAGCTGGGCACTGTCCCCAAGCACAGCTAACGGGGAAAAGGGATCTCAAGCAGGGGCCTCCTCTGGAGGGAGGGAACAGGGTGCAGGGGAGGTGAACAAGGAGACTGAGATTTCTATTTCTAGGCAAATGTCCTTCCCCACTACAAGCTGCCTATTTTTTTTTTTACAGTCAGACCTGTCACCAGAGCTCCTGACCCAGGAGCTGACCCCGCAGAGGATGGCCGCTACCGTCAGGACGCTGCCTCTGCAGGCCTTCCCCTCTCCATTTCACCGCTGCTCAATCCAACCACATCAGGTCGATTCCGCAAACAACTGTTGGGGACCTACTGCGTGCTGCGGAGGGCGCGGAGATGACAAAGACATCCTCGTCATGCCCCGGGTGATCCAGAGGAGGAGAGAGAGAGACTTACAGCGC